TACTGCGCGTAGGTGATGACTTTGCCTTCCGACCTCGCGTTGTCGATGGCGAGCCGAATGTCGATCAGCGACCGGTTGGTGTCCTTGTCGTTTGGGATCGGCGCAGACACCGTGTCCATCGCATGCTGCTGCATGTGGTTGTAGAGGATGTGAGATTGGGTGCGCGCCGCCGCCCTCCGCGCATCGAGATCTGCCTGATGCTCCTCGTCACTCACCCCCTTCCTCCGAGCGCCTCCGCAATCGCCGTGCTGACACTTGGCAATCGCCTCGCCCATCCGCTGGACCGTTTGCTCCATCGGGTCCTGATTGATGAGCTCGAGGCACCCGTACCTGCGGAAGAGCTCCGGCAGCGAGGCCCACATATGCCACCCGTAGCCTTTGAACTGCAGGCCGTGCGTGCCCCCCGTCCAGCGCACGCAGAACTCCGACGACGCGCGCTCGAAGTCGCGATACACCTGCTCTGGGCCGCCCGCATAGCTGCGCATCTCGGCCGGCTTCAGGCGCATGAGGCGGAGGGCTTTGGCCAGGCAGAGCGCGGTGCGGGCCAGCCCGTCGAGGCCGGCGATCGCGTCCTCTCTGCCGATCGCGCGCAGCGCCGTCTCCAGCGCTGTGAAGAACCTCGAGGCGCCCCTCCCTCCCTCCTCGATGAGCAAAAAGTCATTGCGCAAGGCGCGGGAGTCCTTGCCGTCGAAGGCGGCCGGGTAGCGCTTCTTCGTGTCGTTGCTCATGGTCAGCTTGTGCCGCAGCTGCAGGCCCACGTCCGACATCGCGGCGTTAAACGTGTCGATCGCCGCGACTTTGCCGGAGCTGGTGCTCTCGAGCTTTTGGGTCAGCTCCCGCTCGAGCACCGTGATGAGCAGCTCCATCTGACGCATCTCCGCGTGCAGGACGCACAGAGCCAGGTATCGCTGCGCAATCGAGGAGTCGCCGCCAAGGATGTCCTCGAGCTCGCGCTCGCCGAAAGGCGGCAAATACGGCAGCAGCACGAGGGACCCGGCAGGGAGGATCGCTTTCGCTCCCGCCTCGGTGGAGAGGTCCACGGAGGTGAGGCAGCTGCGGTAGCGGTCCAGGTCGAACCTGGCGTCGCGCAGCGCCTGCTGTGCCCACTGCGAGTTGTCGGCGGGGACGCCGAGCACCTGGGTGCACTTCTTGCCGTTGACCCTGGTCTCCTTGGTCTTGAGCGAGGGTGTCGTGCTCACCTGGGGGTGGCGGGCTTGAGTTGTGAGTCTACAGGGTACGTGTGGTGTGAGCGTACGTAAGCAAGCGTCCGTCCCGTCACGGCACTCTCGGAAGAAAGAAGAAATACGAGCGGCGGGCGCTTGAAGGGCACAAGGGGGAGGCGCCTGCGCTCCCCGCGCCGCGTTGGACCCTTTGCCGCGAGCGAATCGAGACGTCGAAGTGCCGCCGCTCGCGGACCCGGTGCGAAGCTCCAGCATCGGGCACTGGATCGAGTTCGACCAGTCCTGCGACGAGTCGGCCATCATCTGCGCGTACTCAACCATCTCCGGGCGGCCGGGCCACTGCCGCTCGCATATCTGCTCGAGGGATGCGCCGCCATCGGGAACAACGGCGACCATCGCGAGCTTCGACTGGTCCTTGTGCAGCACGTTGTGGAAGGGCGAGGTCGGCTGGTCGGCGATCCAGTGCAGTCCAAGAAACTCCATGATTGCGCTAAGGTCGGCGCTCACGATGCCGTGCGCAGTCATGGGCACATCGGAGACGACAATGTGCCGCTGGTAGAAGCTGTCGCCCTCGTCGATGACGCCGAGGTCCTCGACGAGCTCGAGTCCCTCGTCGAGCAGCGCCGGCGGCAGCGGCAGATAGGCGTGCTCCACCACCAACCCTCCCGGTTGGCGCAGCTGCTCGAGCTGCTGCACATAGCCGAGGAAGCCACGCAGCTGATTCTCGGCGTGATCGTCGCCAGCCCAGCAACGCAGGAACAGCGCCTTGGCCGCATTGCATGCGCCCTGCACGACATGCTTCAGGCACTCGGGCCCCCACCGTTCGCCCTTCACCCCAAAGCACTTGATGATAGCAAGAACGGCGGTCCACTTCTTTGCACCCCGCATCCCCTTCAGGAGCTCGCCCGCATCGAGCGTCAGCTGGAAAGCAAATCTGGCGGCGGGGCTCCCCGGCAGTGGCACCTGGCCTGTGAAGGGAAGCATTCCCTCGTTTGCCAGTTTGTTTGCCAGGTTGCACGCGCCATGCGTGGCCGCAAGCCGCTTCTTGCGGTTCCAGACCGGCCGCTCATCGCTGCCCTCTGCCCGCGCGCGCTGCTCGCCCCCTCGGGGAGTCTGTTGATCCGCCTCCTGCGCCGCCTCCTCAGGCGCCTCCTCGCCCGCGTCCTCCTCCTCTGACTCCGCCTCCGACTCCGGCCCTCCCTCCTCCTCGACCTCGCTCCCCTCCTCCTCCTTCGCTGCTGCATTCGCCGCCGCCTCGTCCGCCGCCCGCGCCACCTTCTCACGGCTCTCCTTCTTCCGCCGCTCCTTCTTCAGGAAGTCGTTCTCGAGCCTCTCCTCCTCGCGCCGCAGCATCGCGACCGCCACCCGCCCGCGCTCCGCCGCCAGCGCCTCCGCCCGCTGCTTCGCCGCCTCGACGTCCTCTCCCTCGTCGACCGCCACCGGCTCGTCGATGTGCGGCGCGGATGGGCACCACTGCTCGTCGTACTTCGTCGACTCCTTGATCAGCCTCGACGAGGTTGAGTGGCCCAACAAGCGGTGGCCTGCATCGTACTTGCGCGCCAGCCCGTAGTTGACGTGGCCCATGCGGCGCAGATCGGCGAGCGAGGTCCTGGTGGGGTGGACCTTGGTCTTGCGCGACTCCTTGTCCCACGTGCGTTTCACCCGAGCGTTGCTCTGTAGGCGCGCCACGAACCGCTGCCCGGAGAGGAAGCGCCGCTTGCCGTGCACACGCGACCCGGGGAGGGACCCGTCGACGATTTCGGCGAGGTACGTGTCCATGCCCTCGTGCCCCGTCTCGGGAGTGCTGACAAGCTCCGCAATCGCTCGCAAGTGCGCATCGCACTTCGCTCGCACCCGCTTCCAATACCCCAGCTCCCCGCGCGTCATGGTCTGCCGATCAGGCCGTCTGTAGGGCTCACACCGCCGCTTCTCCTCGCGGTAGAACGGCTGGCCCAGCGCCGCTGCGAGCTCGACCTGCAGCGACGAGATCATCTGCTCCAACTCCTCGATCGGCTCGCGCAGCACGTGGTTGAGTGTGCTGTCCCCGTGCGCGCCGCACCGGGCCATCTGGTTGAGGTCGTACGGCCCCTCCTCCTCGATGCGCCTACGCTCCGCCGCCACCGCCGCCACAAAGTCGGCGTCGTCCGCGCTCCCAAACAGGTACTCGCCGCTGCCCCCGCCGCCGCCCCCACCAGCGGCGTCGCCGTCGCCGTCGCCGTCACCGTCGCCGTCGCCGCGAGGCTCGCCTGCTGCCGAACGCTTCTTCCTCGCCGCCGGCTTGTTCCCGCGGCTCTCGGTCTGCACCGCGACGGCCGCCGCACGGATCCACATCTCGAGGGTGCCGAGGTCGAGCTGGACTTTGGGCTTGTCCTTGGAGTTGCCGCCTGGTCGGAAGCATCCCGGCAAGGAGGCCTCCAAGGCGGCCCGCAGCTGCAGCGGCATGTTCTCCTGCGGCGGTAAGGGCGGGTGTGTCTACCGCTGCAGGAGAATTCACAGTCTTGCGTGTGAAAGTGTTGAGAGTGGGGTGGGGGCGGCGCACCTTGGGCATGGCGGCAAAGTCGAACTTGGCCGGTGCAAGCCGGACGGCGGGAAGTGTCTGCAATTTACTCGAGTACCGCGCCTTCTTCCCCGGAGAGTAGAAGTTGAACTTGCCCGGGGCCGCTGGGGCGCGGCTGCGCGCAGCGCCTCTGTTCACAGCAGCGGGCCGCGGCGGACGACGTTGTGCCTGCTGCTGCTGCTGCCGGGCCCCGGCCCCTGCCGGTCGGCCCGAACGCTCTCCAGCCGAAGGCCCTCCCGCATCGGCCGCGTCCGGCGGCGGGCTCCCATGTTGCGGAGCTCCGGCAGGCGGCTGGCCCGTAGGCGGCGGCGAGCCGATCGGCGCCAGCGGCAAGCGGGCGGCCGGTGCTCTGGCCGCCTGAGGCTGCGGCCGAGGCTGGCCGCCGCTCGGCGCCGAGCGTGCCGCGGCAGCTGGTCCACGCTTGGGCGGAGGCTCGACCCGCGGAACCGCATGCACAGGCGCGCGTGCGCGAGCGTCGCACGCAGTGGCGGCGAGCGGCAGAGAAGGGTCGCCCCCAATGGGCGTCGCGAAGGCGATAGGCGTCGGGGGCTGAGTCGGCGGGAGCGGTGCGTCCGCGTTGCCCAGCCGCGGGGACTCCACCGCGCGCACAAGCACTGGCGTGTGGAGATGCTGTATAGGTGGTTGCATGGCCCAAGGCCTCTCCATGCTACCTGCCCTCTACCTGCCGCTACCCGCCCGGCGCCTCCGAGCTTGGCTGGTCATCGTGGTAGTAATCGCCGAAAGTCGCCGGGAACCACACGTTACCGCCCGTAGCCATCCGCAATCATAGGACGGCTTACGCAACGGTTGGACGTGCGCAAGGGTGATGTCAAGAGCGCTGCACGGCCAGCGGCAGCAGCAGCAGCAACAGCAGCATCAGCCACCCAGCGCGACGGCGCCGGCGTGCTCGTGGGTGCGGCCGCGCCCCCGCCGCCGGGGCGCGCGACGTGGGTCCTCGCTGGACGGGCTGCCCCGCGGCGGCAGGGCGTAGCGAGATGGGCGGTAGAGGGGCAGGGGCCGCGCGACGTCGGCGAGACAGCAGAGGGAGGACTCAGAGGGGGCGAAGGTTTTGAGTCTCGCATCAAACTGGATGCATGTGTTCAAAAGAAAGTACCGACTCCACCAATACAATGGGTGTGCATCCCGGCATGCGAGACTCGCGAGCGCAGACGCGAAGGCGGGCGCGCAAGGACTAAGTGTGCTGCACACCCGCTCCACACTGCGTCCCAGACCGAAATACGTACACAAGGACACTCGGACGCTCAAAGGGGATACTCCTCGAGTGTGGCCGACTGACCGTGGAGCTCAGCTGGCGAGGGCACGGGAGTTGAGCTCGCCACCCAGCCCAGGCCGAGGACGTATTTGGGGTCGGGGATGGAGGGAGGCGGAGCACCCACCGAGGCGCCGTCCACCGGCATCGAGCCGTTGAACGTGGCGACGCCGACACGCACCGTCAGCAAGCGCGCCGCTGGCTCGTAGTCGATGCAGTGCGCCGAGCGGCTGCCGCACCCTCCTGTGGCACCCAGCTCGTCCTTTGCGCGCAGCTGGCTCTCGTCTGCTGCTGAGAGAGGGGTGGGGGAGACCAGGGCAAAGCGATGCGTGACCTTGGCTGTCGACGGCAGCTCCACGGCGAGGAAACCAAGGAAGCTCTGCACGTCCTCGGAGCTCTTGATCGAGGCACGGTAGATGATGCGGTCCGTGTCCGACATGCCCGCCCCCTTCCCCGAGCGCTGGTACATGTCGGGCCAGCATGGCAACGCCATCACATTCTCGGGCGGCCAGTTCTTCAAGTGCAGCACCATTGGGTCGAGCGCCGAGACCTTGTCGACGCGGTCGATGAAGGCTGCCTGGGAGGGGAGAGGGGCAGATCAATTAGTGAGGGACGCGGGGGGTAAGGGGGGGGCAGGTGTGTGTGTGTGTGGAGAGAGGAGTTGCGACGCGGGCGAGGCGAGGGGGCGAAGAGAGCGCGCGCGCACACACCAGCATATCTTGATGCGCCCTTTGCAGGACGGCGAGGCGGTGCAGCTCGGGAATCACGAAGTCGATCTCGACCTTGCGCGACTCCTTGATCGACAGGTCGCGAGTGGCGACTATGTGACCCTGCAGCAAGCAGCAGTCGAAAAAGCGGACGCGAGCGGTGCCGACGGCGCACATAATCATGAACGCGCACGAGGCGCACGAGATCACGCCCTCGTGGGTGACGGTCGCCGTGTTGATCTTGACGCCGATGTCGGTCGGCACGAGTGCGCCCGTCAAGTTGAGAAACGGGCGCTGGTTGAGAGGTCGCTGCAGCAGGTCCTTGCTCTCGGGGTCGGTGGTGCAGAGCCTGAGCTCGTCGGAACCCTGCTCGAGCACGCGGAAGCCGTGGATCTCGTCGCCCGAGAAGTCCTTGCCGAACATGTACTTGATGCTGCCGTCGCCGTCCATGTACGAGAGGAACCGAACCAGCGCATCGTCGGCCTGGAACATGAGCGCCGCGCCGCGCAAGACCGGCCCGGCGGTGAGGGGGACAACGGGCAAGGCGGGCGGGCAGCGCCGGTGGCTCGAGGCTGGCCGCGGGAAGAGCGACGGCGGGAGCAACTCGGTGGTGGGCATGTCGTTCAGCGACTCGGGCATGATCGAAGCAAGCGACGCATCCTCCCCCCAAGGCGTGAACGAGAGCGGCCTGACCGCCTGCGGCGGCGCCTATGTTGAGGGGAGAGGCGTCGCTCTGGTGCGCGCAGAGGCGGTCATGGGGCGCGGCGCGGCTGCGAGGCGGCACCTTGTCGTTGAACTCGAAGATGAGCGTGCCCGCGACCTCCCACTCGCATCCCAGCCCGACCGCCGCGATCCCCATGACCGCCTCCGCGTCGTGCGCCTCTGCGCAGTTTGTGAGCACCACCACCTTTGGATCCTGCTGCATGCGCGCCGCGAGCTCCGTCCCAAGCAGAGAGACGATGTCGACCCGCTGGCGGATGAAGCCGGCCGGCAGCACGTCGGTGTCGCCGTCGTCAAAGTGGACACGGAAGCCGGTCGTTCCCCTCTTCGTCTGCACGACCTTCGTCACGTAGCCTGGGAACCAGCGCGCCTTTTTTTGATATCGGGCATCGACGCGGTCGCCAAGGGCAAAGGCGGCGCCCTCGGCCAGCGCGTCGTCGTCCGAGGTCGCCTCTAGTGGTGGCGGCGCTGGAGCTTCGTCCTTGTAGGCAGCGAGGTCCTCCCCGTTGTAGCACCACAAGAGCTCGGCTGTCTGGGCCGTCTCGGGGTCATTGGTCGACCCGCTCTCAATGAAGCACCGGAAGAGAACTGCAGGGCGGATGCCAGCTGCGAGGGGGCGAGCGGGGCGACTCAGAGCTGGGAGGGCGCCATACGCAGCGCCTCGCCGCACACGCTGCGCAGCGAGGGTGTGTGCAGCTCCACACTAACTGCGCGCGCGCCGGGAGGCAATAGCGCGCGCGTACCGTCGCCATTGGGCATACTGAACGCGACCTCGTAATAGCGGTCCGCGCCGTACCGAAGGGCCTGCCCGTTGTTACGACGCGACACCGCGTTCTCGCCCACGCGGCCCAGCAGGCGCCTGGCAGGCGCCGCTGGCATCCCCAGCAATTGAGGCGCCTCTCCTCTGAGAGTAACCGAAGCGCTCGCGCCAAGACTGTACGGCGCGAGCCACCCCCACGCGCAGTCTCCGCCCAGCAGCAGCTTGTCCACGGTCCGTGTGTCCCCGTGCATCCCTGGAAGAGCGATGACACCGATAGGATCGGCGGTGATCGCAGCTCGTTGGAGATCGATGGTTGTTCCCTCTGGCGATAGGAGCTCGAGCCCGTTTAGACCCAAATAATGCGGGTCGCCCCAGGTGGACTCGCAGAGCAAAACCAGCTGCTTTCCGTGTGGATGGAGCCGCACCTCGTAATCTTGCATCGGGGGCAGAGACGGCATGAACCCGGCTGCCCGCGGCGCAGGCTCGCGCTGGCCAGCCGAGGTCGCAGGCCGTGCAGCGACGGCCGTGACTTCGCTCGGAATGACGCGGGGCCGGCACTCTAGAGCGCCGGCCTCTGCGCCGGGCGTGTGCGGCCGCTCCGTACGGAAGGCGTCAGAGTCGTGCTCAGGCGAGTGGCAGCATAGGTCGTGCGCCTCGATGGCGGTGAGCGTTTGCGGCTCGAGCGTGAACAAGATGCTTTCGGCGCACGCAAAGGCGTCCACCACGTTCCCGCAAGCCTTGTTGATCTCGCCGCGAAAGATGAGCGCGCCGTCGAGCCGCAGCTCAATTCGACGCGCACCTCGGTATGAGTGGATTCTCGATTTATTGTAGTTCCAGACTCTCACGAGCGAGAGCCGGCAGGGCGCGGGAAGCTCAATCCCCAAGAGGTTGCGCTCGCCAGCGGTGTATGGAGCCAGCCACAGGTGGTTGTCGTTGCAGGTGGCACAGACTCCATCGGTCAAGTTGGACACAACTCGCGGGTCGTCCGAACATTCTGGGAGGACGTTGATGTCGGCGGGCGAGGCCCAAATCCGACCTGCGGATAGGTCAACCGGCAGCCCTGCGCTGTCGAATGCCTCGATGGCGGCCAGCCCGACGTAATAAGGATCGCCCCAAGTGCTGAGGATGTCCACCTGCAGCTTTCGTCCCGCCGGCAGCGCGACGAAGACCCCTTCCTCCTCCTCCCAGCCACTCGCTGCTGGCGCCGTGGGCGTGATGAAGTCGAGGGAACGTGGGCCGCCTGCGCCCGCACATTGGGTGTACCCGCTAGCCGAGGAGTAGGAGGAGCCCGCAGGTGAGGCGGGGCACGAGCGACGGCTTGCGGTTGACTCCCCGCTCGGCGGCCGGGAGCCACTCGACGGCGGGCGTGACGCAGAGAGACTCGATCCATGGCTCGACGAACAGCCGCAGGCCCCGCCGCGCCAGAGTCCAGAGCTGCTGGCATCGCACCCACCTCTTGCAATGCTGCTTTGGCCACCGAGCTGCAGGTTCGATGCTGCACCGAGGTTGAAGTGCTCGCTTTCGTACATGCTGCCGCCGCTGCCAACATGGCGCGATGCGCAGTCTCTCCGCTCGCTAGCCATGCGAGTCTGCACAAAATTTTGCAGAAGTGCGTCCTCGGGAGCGACGCGCGTCGGTGCAGGGCTCTGCGTGGGTGAAGTACGACGCCAGTCGGTTGCGCCGGAGCGCGCCGACGATGGCGCGCGCCGGCCGGCGGCGGGCGCCGACTCGAAGTGCATTCGTCGCAGGCAGCGTTGCCGACGGTTTCATTTCATTTCATTTTCATGAAAATAAAGAAAAAAGGGTGGTTGTTTCATACGATCGAAGGCTAAGCTCAAAAAAAGGAACAGGTCCCCACCCGTGCGATCTTTGTGCAGGGTTCTTTGTAGCATTTCATGAGGGAGCGCGTCTGCTCGGTTTTCTTTTTGCGATCACTCATGACTTCTTGTGCAGCTCGCATCGCGTCGTGGCGTCGATTCCTTCTCGCGTGAGCACTTCCCACAACAACATACCTGAATACACCTAAACCTGAATGCTGAAAGCCTGCGCCCAGCGAGGCTGAATCGTGTGCCGTGCGGAGGAATGGAAATAATGGGAAATGGGGAACCCCCGCGCGGCTCCCCCCTCCACTTCTACGGACTCCGAGAGGAGCAACGCTGGGCTGTTAGCCTGTTTGTATTTGAACGCCTGTTTTTGTCAGCTGTGTCGTACAGCCCTAACCTCTCCCTCTCGGCGCTCTCATAATACATTCACATCACGCGTACTTTTCTTGGAGAGCACGAGCAGAGAGAGAAACATGGTACATGCTGGTGCACAAGGGAAGCCTTTTCGCGTCTTCCCCACCACGCTTGTCACGACAAGGCCGACAAGTTCTCCTGGAAGCGCTGCACAAAGCTGGAGACGTAGTCGGTCGTGACGTGGAAGTCGTGCAGCCGCTCGTACTCGTAGTAGACGAAGAGCGACACCAGGTTGATCGAACCCTGGAAGGGGGGCGCAGTGGGCGGTCGGTGGCTGGAGGCGGGGAGCAGCGGTGGGTGGCTGGAGGCGGGTCACCGGGTAGATGGCATACGATCTTGCCACGCTGGCACGGCCGCGTGCGAGGTCCTCCTCGAACGCGTCGGCGTCGAAACCGCCTTGTGCCGTCTCGTAGCTCGCGCGCCGCTCGTCGCAGCCCAGCTTGTCGGTGATGCCGGACTGGGAGCGCGACAGCGCATCGAAGACCACGTCGCACGCCAAGGGAGAGACCTGCGCAAGGTGGCGGCGCGAGCTGGGAGGACGGGGATGATGCGTGAAAGAGGTGGGATGGACGAGCGTCGGCGGCGTGTCGGGATGGACGCGCGCCTCCCTCGCGTCGAGTTCGGCCGCGGTGCAGCCGACCGAGGCAGCGAGGGCGTCCGAGCGGAAGGACAGTCTGCCGACATTCTGCTCGTGCCAGTGCCGCTGCGCTTGCGACCTACCACGGCGAGTATCACCGCTGCGAGCATGAGAGAGGAGGGCGCGGTGGGGGAGAGCGGTCGGCTTGCGCGTGCTTCCGCTTGCAGAACCCACGCCGCTGCGGCGTCCTGGCCGCCCACGGCTGGGCGCCGGCCTTCTCGACGTCGGGCGCGGAGAACTGCGGGTCATTTTTTGGCCAGCGGGGCAACTTGGAGGTGCGAGTCTCGCTGCTGAGCCGCGACGCCTTGCGAGGGAAGGCCTCCTCCCAGCGCGCCCACGCGTCGCGCAGCGCAGGGCCGTCCACGATGTTGCCCTCCGCGTCGAAGAAGGCGTCCATTGCGGGGAGTTCCCCTATGCTGTCCCACTCCTGCGAGGCGGAGCAGGTACGGACACCGTCAAATGTGAGCCCGCTCGGTTTGCGGCCCGGCTCTTCTGGAAGCCTCCATCCGTTGCCATCGACCGAGAACGTTGACGACATCAATGGCAGACACTTTGGGTCCGGATGCGAGGAGGTCGGAAGCCCTGCAAAAGGTGCGGGTGGCGGCAGTCGATGCACCCGCCGATGATGCTGTGGTGGGTGCTGCCGTCATCGCCACCAAGGGACGCTGAGGCATCGGACGGCGGGTGCCCAGCACCACGGCGGGTGTGAAGCCTGCAACGAGCGTAAGCATCTTATGGGCTCTTCGCAGCCGCCTTCCCCAGGGGCGCAACCAGCCGCAACCAGCGCCCTGTTACAGCCACCTGGTAGCCCTGGGTTTCGGCTCCTACCCAGATAGGGGGTCTGGCGCCACGGCGACAGGGAGGATGTGGCCTTGAGTTATGTGTACGCCAACTCAGGGTGTGTGGCAGCCCGCTGGCTGTGTGTCTTGTGAGCTTGTTTGTGTCTGTGTGTCGCTCGTGCGTGCCGTCATCATCTGTCCGGCGTCCACCCATACCGCGTTGGTGTCCAGTCCGAGCCTGGCTGTTCTTCACCTTTCTACCTACCTACCTAGACCCTATGCAATAGGTAGGTAGGTCCGGTTTTGACCGCCCCAGAGGGCCCCGCAATAGGTAGGTAGGTGGTGGTTGTGGTTGGGGGGGGGGGGGGGGGTGAAAGTAAAAAAACCGCTTCTTGCGCGGGAGACGGGCCGCGCGTTAGCCGGAACGGGGCCATGCCAGGCGAGTCGCCTGCGGCTGGGACGCCAGCCGAGACTAACGGGTATTCACAGAGGGCTAACGGGTATTTTTTCGCTTCGACTGCGCGGCCTGGGAATAGGTAGGTAGGTGGGGCACGGAGCCTGGCGATTGGCGCCCGCAATAGGTAGGTAGGTAGGGCGTTTTGGTGCGAGTCGTGGAGGACAGACCCCCTATCTGGGTAGGAGCCGGAACCCTGGCGAGTACAGACCACGCCTGCTATTCACAGCACGAGTAATGGAGAAGTCTGTCCGCGCCTAAGGATTCTGCCTTTCCTATTCTGCTCTACTACACAAGGATTCTTGCTATTCTACCTCTCACTAGATTCCCCTTCCCAGGTTCCTCTTCTGCTCAGATATTCTGATTCTCTCCCCAGACTCTCCCATCTTGGCCCCGCTTTCAGCTTCCTGATTCTCCATTCTCGTTTCCTCCGCTTCCTTTCCGATTCTCCAGGGCAGCCAGAGCCAATTCCTGATTCTGCTCCCCCCTCCCGATTCTCCTGTCTCTCTTCCTATTCTTGATGCTCCATTTGATTCCTGATTCCTGATTCCTGATTTGTCGGATCGCCCACATTTTGACCGGGATTCTGATTCCTGATTCCTGATTTCTGATTCCTGATTCCTGATTCCAACATTTTGACCGGGATTCTGATTCCTGATTCCTGATTCCTGATTCCTGATTCCTCGGAGTTACGCATTTCGGCGGGATCCTATCACCTATGTTGGCCTGACTCTCCGAACTCCTGAGCCGATATTGCGTGTGCGCGGGGCTTCACACAGCTCACTCAAACTTCGCCCGCGGCAGCATGCTCAGGCGCGGGTCTCTCTGGCGCTCCAGCCTCACGTCAGCGCACTCAGCGCTTAGGCCTCGGTCCGGCGTCCGCAAAGGCGCAGTGTGTGGTGCGGGCTCTGCCCGTCCCCCCGAGGAGAGGGGGGGGGGGCGCTCCCGCGCGGGGGGGAGCCGAGCGAAGCTCGGCTCGGGTTCAAACTAACCCTCCCCCTTTTCCCTTTTTCTAAAACTGCTCGCCGCGAGCGGCTCGCTTCTAAAACGAGCTCGCCGCGGCTGTCGCCGCGTCTCGCCTGTCTAGGCGTCGTGATGCGTGTGTGCTTTTGAGCTGGGCGTATAAGAAGAAGAAATTGAAGCACTCCTCCCATTGACTTAGTACGAGCACCGAGACACGAGACAGCAGCTACCCGTTCTACACCCACACCGCCGCGGAGCTGCCTAGCTGGCGGGTGCATTCACAGCGAGCCCGCGGGCTTGGAGACCCAATCAGACAGCACTCCCCACAGCAAAAGAGCAGACGTGCCGCTGTGAGCATCGCTGAGCAGCACCAACGACCGCTTGCGGGGTCGCCGCAGGCCGGCGCCAAGCTGCATCTGACGCCGGCATGCCGTTCAAACCCCGGCACCAAGCGCCCGCGGGAATGGGAGACCGCCTGCCCAGAATTAAGATCGGCCGCGCACTGCTCTGGCTCCATCATGCCACCGCCCATGAGATCTCTGACGCACGTGTGATGAGCCGCCGTTCAAAAGTGACTGTACTGTGCGGAGCGCGGAGCGCACTTCGATGGCAAAGTGGGTGGCGCGGAGGATACGGCGCGTACACATGAGCGTGATTGGTTGAGTGAGCATGCCCAGATGGCCGGCCGGCCGGGCTACCGCCCCTCGACGGGCAAAAACAGGAATCAGGAAACGAGAGTCCGGCCGGGTTGCCAAGAAATCGGCCGGCAAGCGGAAATTTCCCTTTCCGGCATCCGGAGGCAGAAACCGCAACCGCGCGACAGAATCTGATAAGGCGAGAATCGGACGGACAGAATCAGATCGATTAGGCAGAAACGGAAGCTGGGTGAGGAATCCTGCCCGGAGGCTGAGTGCGTGGAAAGGGGACGGGCAGAATCAGATCGAGTAGGCAGAACCGGAAAAGGAGAGTGAGAATCAGAAGAAACGGACACGAATCCCTCTTGAGCCTCCGCAAACAGAATCCTGTCTTGGGTGGCAGAATCGCTAGTGCAGAATCCTCAGGCGTGGACAGGGTTCTCCAAGACTGCACAGCACAAGCCCTCGCCGGGGGCTCGAGCATGCGCAGCGAAAAGCATGTGAAAAAGTGAGGCGTGGTCTGTACTGTACTCGCCAGACTGTAGCCGAGCGCTCAATCAAAAAAAGTAAGTAGTTCAGCGCTAGTGGGGCCCACAGCGCGAGGGAAAAATTCCGCCGCTGGGGGAAACCCGGAGCGCAGAGCTAACCCTCGGGGACCCGTGTTATGGCCCTGCGAACGCGCACCCCCCAGGGCTAGGAAGAGGGGGCGTTCTGCAGTTAAGGGGAAACCCGGTACACGGAGCCCTCTCGGAGACCCGTGTTATGGCCCTGCGACCGCGCACCCCCCAGGGCTAGGGCTCTCTAGCCCGTAACCCACTGTTGTGCGCTTGTGCGTCCAGCAGTCCGGACCCGGTGCTACGGCCGGTGACCGCGTGCCTCTCGTGTCGGCTCCCGAGCCAATCGTGTGGAGCGTGTGTGTGCGTGTGGGCCCGTCCTCCATGCTAGGAGGTGTGTAAGACTGACTGACTGACTCTCACAGCAGACGGGAAAAAGAAATGACGCGTCGTCTCGCCGCCAGTGCGGATGCGCGAATCGCTCGTGCTGCTCATCGCCTCCGCCGCCGCGCTCCGTACGCCACTGCCGCCGCTGGGATATGTGCCGGCTGCGCTCTCTGCATCTGCGCCGCCTCGAACACAGAGCCTTCTGCTGAGGAGCGCGGCTCGCGCCACCGCGCTGACGGCGGCGGCGGCAGCCGAGATCAAGCCGCAGCTTCCGCCGCCCGAGGACGTGCCCTCCGCCCGAGCGGTAACGGTGCTGCTGCTCTGCTGCGCCATCGGCGCGGTGTGCGCTCTCGACCGCGTATTGATCTCGATCGCCATCCTCCCGATGGCGGAGCAGTTCGCCTACTCTGACTCGACCAAAGGTGCCATTGCAGCAGGCTTCTCGCTCGGGTACTGTCTCGGGCTTCTGCCCGCGGGCGTGCTGGCATCGAGCGGCTCGCCGAGGCAGGTCCTCCTCGGCGGGCTGGTCGTCTGGTCTGCGGCGACCTGCGCCACGCCGCTGGCCGCCGCCTCGAGCGTGCCCGCCCTGCTCGCCACCCGCGCCGTGATGGGCGTGGGCGAGGCGGCGGCTGTGCCGACCCTGCAGGCGGGTTCGTTGGGCGCGGCAAATCTTCCGAGTGTAGGTATCCTACAATGCAAGGTATCCTTCAGGCGGTGGCGGCGCGCTTCGTCCAGCCCGAGCGGCGCTCCCTCTTCTGGGGCTGCCTCACCGCCTCCCTCTCCTGCGGCACCATCGCCGCCTACGTCCTGGCTCCGCCGCTCATCGCAGAGCAGGGCTGGCCGTTCGTCTTTGAGGCCTTCGGTGCCGCCGGCCTCAGCATCGCGGTGCTGTGGGCAGTGCTCGGCGCCGACGCACCGCGAGAGCTCGAGTCCGCCGGAGCCAGCAGCAGCGGCGGCGGCAGCAGCAGCAGCAGGATTGGCGACGCCGGCGCCGGCGGCGGCGACTCGGCCGGCGGCGGCGACGGCGGGATGGGCGAGGTGCCGTGGCGGGCCCTCGCCTCCTCGCGGCCGGTCTGGGCGATGACGGCCGCGCACTGCAGCTCCAACTTCTTCATGTACTTTGGCTTATCGTGGCTCCCAACCTACTTTTCGTACCAGTTCGGCCTCTCGACAGCCGACGCGTCGACGGCGGCGCTCTACCCGTTTGCGGCGGGCGCGGTCGGCTCGCTCGCTGCGGGCGCCGCGTGCGACGCTCTCGTCTCGAGCCTCCACTTTCGGCGCACCGACGCGCGCAAGGTGATGCAGTCCGTCGCGCTGGGCGGGCCGGCGCTCGCGATGCTCGCGCTCTGCCTGCTCTCGGCCGGCGCCGGCGGGCTGCAGCTGGAGCGCGACGAGGCGGAGGCGATCTTCGTCGTGGCGGTCGGCTGCCAGGCAGGCTCGGCGGCGGGGTACGGCTGCGGCGCGCAGGACATCTCGACCCGCCTCTCGTCCCTCATCTACGGCGGCACCTCCGTCTTCGCCGTCATCGCGGGCGCCTCGGGCCAGTACTTCACCGGCTGGCTACTGGAGCAAAACGGCCGGGACTTCACGCCCATGTTTGCCCTCCTTGTCGCCGTGGAGCTAGCGGGCCTTGTGGCTTGGAACAGATGGTGGGACAGCGAGCGCGTGTTCGAATGACGATGAGCCGAGGCGGCCGCGCGCGCGTGTGAGGGGCGGCGTGAGCCGGCACGTGTGCACTGGGCAGTCTCGTATTTACTCTATTTTGTGAACAAACGCGGAACCGGAAGGGCGACCGCCAGCGCCAGGACCGCCCCCGCGAGCCGCAACAGCCACGGCATCGACGATCGAGAGCAATTATCGTGTGTGAGACGAGCCGAGCGGTGAGAGCTGCACTGTGCCAGCGGCCCTCCCCCCTCCGGGCCCCACTTAAAGCACAATCGGCATTCTGCCCTGGGGTGACTAGCACTGGCGCGCGCCTTTACCGGTGCGATTTTCGTCGCCACCACGACACTCTGGTGCTCAAAGTAGAGGTGATGCGAGCGCCACGTCAGCCCGGGGCGTCCGCCTCGAGCCAGAGAGGCAAGGTGGCGGGCGGCGGCGTGGCCACTGCGGCCGCCCGAGCCAAGCTGCGCCGCGGCGCCGGCCGGACCGTCATCGGCAGCACCTACAGCGGACCGTCCCGTCCTGCCTCCGTGGCGGGGATGGCGCGTCGCGAGCCGGCGGCGGCGCTCCCAGTCGAGGGTCTGCGCGGCCTCAGTCTCGGGGCGAGGCCTCAGCGTGAAGATGAAGCGCAGCTTCCAGCGCAGCGTCAGCGCGGGCGCCTCGCAGCTCGGCGGGAGGTGGCTCGGCAGCAGGAGCTCGAAGCTCGCCTGACAGGAGAGGGCGAGACTCGGCCCACGCCTCGTCCCCCCCGCACGGAGAGGCCGCTCGCAACGAGGCTCGCCTCGCGCACAGCTGCGGCCGCAACCTCGACAGACTCTACCTGCGGAGCGAAGGGCCCGGGGCGGGCGAGTCGGGGTGTGAAGCCGCTGCTGCGGCGGTGTGGGAGCGGTGAGGGAGCGGTGCGAGGGCGGTGTGGTGTGGGAGCAGCGGGTGGAAGCAGGGCGGTTTGGGAAGCTGAGCGGTGTGGGGAGGAGGGGTGTGTGGGGGAGCAGTGTGTGTGCGCGCCGCCCACCGTGCGACTCGAGCGCGCGCCGGTGCCGCCCGCCTCTGTGCGTGTGAGGGCGAGGTCCCACCCCAGCTCGTCGCACAGCTGCTCGTCGCACTCCACCTCCTCCTCGAGGTCGAGCGAGATGGTCAGCAGAGAGCACTGCAGCGCCGCCGCCGCCCCCTCCTCCGCCGACCCTCCGGCCTCGAAGCGGACGCAGCCGCGCACCACCTCTCCGGGGGCGCGCGAGCAGGCGCGGCCGACAAACGCGACCGTCGCGAGAGGCGCCCTACTCCCGCACCGCCGCCCTCGAGGCCGAGGAGTGGGAGAACGCGGCTGTGCGGCGGGGGGGAGGGCGCAGCGCACCCCTCGAGCCGGACCTGGAAGAGGCCCTCGTTGGCCGCCTGCGTGGCCGCATGCCCGTCCGCCGCGCCGCTCCCCTCGCTCCCTCTCCAAGACCCCTCCTCGCCATCCTCCTCGCCCTCCTCCTCGCCCTCCTCCTCGCCCTCCGCCTCGAACACGAGCGGCTCCTCCTCCCTCCCGACCTCCTCCCACTCCTCCTCCTCCTCCTCCTCCTCCTCGCCCGCCGCCGGCCAAGTGCACCCCTCCACACACGCCGCACCACCCCGGCTGGCCACCGGCGTCAGCGCGGCGTCCTCCGAGCTGACGCTGCAGCAAAACTGCGACTCTGGCACGCCGCCTCCGCCTCCGCCTCCGCCTCCGCCTCCGCCGCCGCCGCCGCCACCGCCGCCGCCGCCTCCGGCTGCTCCGCCCTCCCCGGCGCCGCCCTCCCAAGACGGCTCCTGCAGGCGCGGCTGCGCGCACAGCGGCGCGCCGGCGCGCGGCGCGCCGCACAGCAACACTCGCAGCGGCACGCGCAGCCTGCAAGTGCGTGGGGAGCGGGGTGAGGCGCTGCAAGTGCGGCGGTGTCGGCGCGGCGCGGACGGCGAGCCTGCAGATCGGGCCGCGCCGCCAGCCGGAGGACGGCTCCGACGGCGGGCGCATCATCCGCACGGTGAGCACGGCCACATACTCGATGCGGGCCAGGTCGCCGTGGTGGCTCGGCGGCAGGCCGTCGGGCAGCGTCCCGACCACGTCGAAGGCGAGCCGCGCGCCGGGCTCCACGGCGTGGCCGGCGAGCACGACGTGCGGCGGCGACGAGAAGAAGCACCGCCGCCCGGGCGCGTCCTGCTGCCGCTCGTCCGGCAAGGCAGTGGCCTCGGCCTGCGGCGGCGTGGAGGGCGGCGGAGGCGGCGACGCGAGCGAGAAGTGGCCGCAGAGCTGGGCGCTCATCCAGTCCACCCACCGCTCGGCGGAGGAGGCGCTGCCGATGAGGGTGAGGCGGCACCGGACCGTGCCGCCCGCGGCGTAGGCCCACGCGTCGGGCGCGGCGGCGAGCACGTCAAAGAGGGCCATCGGCCGACGCCGCGGAGCCCGAGTGCGAGTGCCTCGGCTGGCGGCAGCGGAGCGGCGGCAGGCGCAGCGCGCGGGGAAGAGCGATCTTACTCTTAAAGGGGCTCTGAGTGTGCAGGGAGCACGGCGGAGTAAACCGCCATCCGTCGGCGCCGCGCACTCTTAAAAAAAATGAAAAAAGAATGCAAACCGCCAAGAAGATCAGGAGGGTGGTGTTTAGAAACACCGGGAGTGAGTGGGGGGTGCCGATTTAGGCGTTGGACGTGTACTTGGTGACGGCCTTGGTGCCCTCCGAGACGGCGTGCTTGGCGAGCTCGCCGGGGAGGATGAGGCGGACGGCGGTCTGGATCTCGCGCGACGAGAGGGTGCCCTTCTTGTTGTAGCGCACGAGCTTGCCCGCCTCGACGGCGATGCGCTCGAACGCGTCGTTGATGAACGAGTTCATGATGGACATGGCCTTGGAGGAGATGCCGGTGTCCGGGTGCACCTGCTTGAGCACCTTGTAGATGTAGGACGAGTACGACTCGACGCGCTTCTTCTTGCGCTTCTTCTCGCCGCCGCCGGACGGCTTCTTGGCGGACTTCTTGGCGGGCGTCTTCTTGGCGGGCGGCATGGCTGAGCTGGGTCGAGGGATGATGTTGGAATTGATTTTTGGAGGGCTCCTTGCCTCGAAGGGTGGCTCACCCGCAACGCCCGCGCCGCTGCAGCCGGGCTCACTTTTCGGCTCCCGGCGCCCACCTCGCGCCGGAGCGGGCGGGAGGCGGGCGAGAGGCGGCCCTCGTCCTCCTCGCCCGCCGCGCGGCCCCTCTCCGCCGCGGGTCGACATCGAGAGAGCCGGCAGGGCCCGGCAGCGCAGAGACGGCTTTTCGAGAGACCTTCGCGGCGCTCGATCCGGGAGCGAGGGGCGACAGGGCGACGCAAATCTAGTCGCGCGCGTGTGCTGCCTGTGTCTGCGCTGCAGTCGCAGCGATATCACAGGCCCATTGAACAGGAGAGGATCGCGCGAAGGAGAGCGCTAACTGCCCTCTCTCTCCGCATTTTTGAAGCAAGTCTTGTCTTGTGAGTTTTGCACAACGCCAGCCTCAAAAACGTGAGACGACACACGCACACGGCACTGCGCATAGCCGCACACGCTCTCTCACCCACCAAACTGCCTCCGCCGCCGAGAGCGGCCGCGACTGCTGCGCTCCTGCTCCGAGAGGCGCGACTTGCGGCGCGCCCAAGCGTCGGCCGCCGCCACGCGCTGACTCAGCCGAGCCACCGCCGCGACCTTGGCTCGTTGCCGCCGCGCCGTCCGACCGAGCGGCTCCGCCCCCGCCTCCGCCTCCTCCTCCTCTGCCGCATCTCCCGCCTTCGCCTCTGCCCCCCCCACCTCCGCCGCCTCGGTGCCGCCGCGCGGGAAACGTAGCCATCCTTTTGGCATCTCGCGCGCGATCGCCCTGCGCAGCTCTGGCACCCCCGCGGTCGTGCGGCTCGACACCTGTCCAGGGCCAAAGCGAGGAGAGGGAGCGACCGTCTCGGCACAGGAGAAGAAGCGTGGGCAGAGGTGTGGGCAGAGCGCGAGACGGTGAGGGTGAGGGCGAGGTCGGGATTGGCGCCATGTGCACGCCCGCGCGCAAGCCGCGCAGGCCGAGCTCCGCCAAGTCCGCCTGCGGCGAAGGGGGCACCCGCTGGTGAGGGGCTGGCGAGGCGGCGGAGAAGGCGAGAGGCTGGCTGCAGCGGCCTCGAGGACCGCGAAGCGGCGCGCGAGCTCGCTGGTGGGCACGAGGTCGCACTTGGTCATCACCACGAGGCAGGGCACGCCCGCCTGCGCGCACGCAGGGGTCGGCGTCGGCGTGGCCGCCGCCCGCCACACGCTTCCCTCGGCCACGCCACCGCCTCCGCGCCAAGGGCTACAGGTCCGCGGCACCTCGCGGTCGAGCATCAGCAGAAACTCGCGGTCGAGCGCCCGCAGGCTCTGCCGCGCGTCTACACAGAGCAGCACGCGCAGCAGGCCGCCCCGCGAGACGACAAACTCGCGCATCGCAGCCTGCCACTGCGCAGTCGCGCCGTCCGAGGCGAATGCAAACCCGTAGCCAGGCATGTCGACAATCCGCGCGCCGCGCCGCTCCGAGCCATAAAAGTTGAGCGACCGCGTCACGCCCGGCCTGTTCTGCACCGGCGCGAGCCCACGCGTCGTCGTCCCGCCCGAGCGCTTCCCGACCAGCGCGTTGAGCAGTGAGCTCTTGCCGACATTCGAGCGACCGGCGAGGGCGAGCTCAGCCTCTGCGGCGCGCGGGAGCTCGTCGAGGTTGGCCGCCGCCCGGATCAGGCCCATCCGCCCGAGCTCGCGCCGCCGGCCCTCGCGCAGCTGCTCGTCGGAGAGGCGCACGGCGCCGCCCCGCTCCCGGCCGAGGCCGAGCGCGCGGATGCGGCGCACAACGGCGTCCGACAGCGGCGTGCGGCGAAGCCGCTCTCGGACACTGCAGAGCGACATTTAGCGCGTCTTTCTTTGTCTGGCCCTGTGTGGTGGTGAGCTTGTATTCGACTTCGCGGTGTGTATTCTTTTTGCTTGGCGGGTAGGCAGGGTAGGTCTGGGCGCTCCTCGGGTTTTCCCTCTCTTCACGCCGGAATTTCACAGCAAAAAAAGAAATTTTCGGAAAATCACGACGTCAACCCTCCCCAAGTGGGTGATCTGGTGCTTGTGGGGCTTGATAGTGGCCTGCCATGTCACAGGAAGGACTGTGGTTGCAGGAGAGTACCACCAGCCATCACTTTAGTTGGTATAGTATAAATAAATAAATACAACGGACACGCCAAACGAGGGGTGGGAGAAGGACAGGGTCCCCACCTGCACAAGCAGGATCTTGTAGGACGATCAGGGACACAGGGGAACGGGAGCGGGGAGCGCATCGCGACACGGAGGGGGGCTGGGCAGGGGGTTCACCCTCACGACAGGAATCCCATCTCTCGTATAGGACAGGTTGCACCCGGCGGCACGGTATAGTATCCCACCTTCACCCGTCCCTTGATTTCTTTTTTAGTTTCCCATAAGTAGGGTAGGTAGGTAGGTAGGTAGGTAGGGGCACCGCAGGGGCCGGTCAGGTTTTTCCAGAATTTCAGCATGCTGGCCGCCCCAAGCAAAAAGAATACACACCTGACTTTTTCGTTTTTTTTCGAGGACTCTCCCCCTGCCTGTGGAGCCCTAGCCCTAGCCCTATCGGGGAGGCAGACTACCGCTCCTGTCTAGCCGGCCGATCATACTCGAGTAACGCTTACCGATCCCCCGCCGCCTGTGGCCGTTGCGCGTTGGCGGCGCGCGCGCGGCGCCGCGGGGGAAGAATGTGACCCTTTTGCCATGCTGTGTGGCCAAGTCTGGTGGTGGACACTTGAGCGTCCTCGCTGCTCGCACACCCTATTACAGTAGCAGTGCGGATCGGGGGTATCGCATCTGGCGGCCAAAAAGTCCCGTCGTCGAGTCCAAGATGATCAAAGGAGCAAGTGGTCGCACGCTCGAGCCGGATCAAAGCAATGTCAGCAGACACAGAGGTATGAACCTCGTACTCAGGGCGCACGACAATCTCCACCGCCCTGATGTTCTCGGCGCAGTCATCCTCAAAGGTATGCAAGGCGACCACATCGTGTCGGTGAACGCCGACATGCAGGGCCGCCGGCTGCATGTTGAGGACGCAGTGCGCAGCCGTCAGCACCCATAGGCGAGAAATCGTCGATGCACCACAGAAGCCGACGTTGCCATTCAGATTGTTGCGGTACAGCCTCGCCATGTAAGGGTGAGTGAAGCGCTGCGCTTCATAGCCCCCGACAATGTACTCAGGTCGCACAGCGCCGGGTCCAAGGTGACCCGTCGGGGGCGTTGACGCCATAGCGGAGGTGTTGGCCATGGTGCGTCGCGCCCATGAGTCTGCACCGACCGTCCGCGTCCCCGCCGAATCGCTTCCAAAAGGAAGTGACCGTCGCTGCATTTTGGCCGCGATCATTTGGTGGAATCTAATTTCACGTAACTAACTGCAGGATAACTCGAGCGAGGGCGGCAATGAGTGCAAACCGCTCGTTTAAGAACATGGTTCATAGCGTGCAGTTCTGCATGTGTCTGTGAGTGAGTGAGACTTGGTCGGCAGATGATTGATGGCACTTGCGCGACTTGGGGCGCATGTGGGCCACACAGAGACAGCGATCGACGAGACCGAGAGACGAGAGTTTCCGGCAACCCAGAGGGAAACCAGAGGGTCCCCAGCACTTTGAGTTTCCGGAAGTTTCCAGGGAAACCAGAGGGTGTTTGGTTGGTGCTCCCTCCATTCCTGCTCCATTCTGGCAACTCTCGAGTTTCCCTGAGTCTGGGAGCTGGTTTGGGGCAAAATCTGTGAGGCGAAACCGAGGAAACCGGCAAACTACGCGGATATTTTCCAGGTATACCCCCGGGAACTTTTCCAGGTATACCCGCCGGCAACCCGCAAAATACCCCGGTATTTTGCCGATTTGGCTGATTTGGGGCCCAAACCAGCCTCAGACACAGACTCGGCTCAGAGCCCGGGAAATTGATGATTTCTCGGGTCCGTTGGCCTTTTTTTGTAGGGAAGGATTTTGATACCCGTCAAGACGCCTGGGGCCTGGGGGCAGCTTTTCGTGCGACGAATGATGATTTCCACGGAGTTTCCCAGAAGGAAACTCGTAGAGAGGGTGCTGACTGCTTGTAAGAGTAAGTTGTATTAGAGGGGGGGACTAGCAGTAGCAAGGAGAAACACAAAGGAAACCCTGGCAGGGTGCGAGAGGAAACTCTCGTAAAGCCCAACAGCCAGCCAGGCAGGCGCGCGTGGCCCCGCGCGTGCGCGTGCGTCCGTGAGTGAGTGCGTGTATGTATGTGTACCTTACAGCGACCGCGCACCCCACACACAGGGTCTAGCACAGGTTGCTGTTGCCAACTGGGAGTTCAAGCTTCAACTGCACTCCAAAGTCGTGCTCCACACAACGCGCACAACCACAAGTCGCACTGACATCACTCTAGTCGCAACTTGCTCTCGTTACTTCTCTCGCTGAGGCCTCGCGCGTCATCGGACCAGCGGCTGCCTGGGGCGAGAAGGCCAATCCTCAGCGCTCCACCCCTGGCCTACCGCTTCCGTGCTAGTCCCGCGCCCTGCCGCGCCGGTTCGCGCCCTTGAAGCCCCGATGCTTATCGCCTTTGTGCCCCCTAACCCTGTCGCCATTCTCCGGCAGCTCGATCTTGTAGTAAGACGCGTACCAGGCGAGGGGG